GCTCAATAACTTTATATTAAATGTGAATTTTGTAAATCCAACCGTTAGATGGAAAGTTCATATATCTTATATCATATATGTCAAATTTTGTTAAAATTGAACAACAACTTGAAGGTAATCAAAGTGTTCATATTTTAGTATATTTTGAAATGTATATATTACGTCAATTTTGTTTTATGAGAATGAAGTATCAAATCATCTTAGATTAATGTAAAATTTGATATATATGATCTAAGAGATATAAACTTTCAATCTAACGGTTGGATTTACAAAATTCGCTTTTAATATAAAGTTATTGAGCGGTGTCATTTGAACCCTCCTCTCTCTCTCTCTATATATATATAAGGGATCTATTTATTCTAGGAGTAAGTCTACCTAGACTTATTTCGTTCAATAATTCATGTTGTACATCAAATTTTAACTATTCAATCGTTAAATTTAAAATTTTTAATGTATAGATCAAATCTGTAAATTTTTTTAAAATTTAAAAATCATTTAATGCATAGACAAAGTTTCAATATATTTTTTATCTTTTAAAAAATCATTACCTCCAACTGACATTTTAAATTTTCAATTCATATAAAAGTGTGCCTGTTCATTTCTATTCTTTACAAATTGAAATAAAATACGTGTAAATATCAACATGTTAGACTTGAAAACAATTTTATATTTATATATATATATATATATATATATATATATATGCTTAAATATATTTTTAGTCCTACAAATTTAGGGTAAATTTGTTTTTGGTTCCTCAAATTTAAAATTGTTGTTTTTAGTCCTTGTAATTTTAAAAAACAATCTTATTTTAATCTTTATATTCAAATTTTGTTAAAAAATCTACCAAATATTATTGCATAAAATATACTTATTGGTATCCTATTAGTGACAACATCGCATTAAATCCAATTAATATTACATAACAGTCTTAATTTGTCAGTTTTAAATATGTTATTAGTGATCTGAGAGACTAAAATAAGATTTTTAAAAATTATATGGACTAAATAACAGTTTTAAATTTGAAGGATCAAAAATAAATTTATCTTAAATTTGAGGGATTAAAAAACATATTTAAACATATATATATATATATAGAGAGGAGGGATATGCTTTTACTCCAGGAGTAAGTCTACCTAGACTTACTCCATTCAATAACTCATGTTCTACATCAAATTTTAACGATACAACCGTTCAATTTAAAGTTCTTAATGCATAGATTAAATCTGCAAATTTTTAGAAAATTTGAAAATCATTTGATACTTCATTTCATTTTATGATTATCCGTCAATTTGAATTAATGAAATGAAGTATCAAATGATTTTTAAATTTTTTAAAAATTTGCAGATTTGATCTATGCATTGAAAACTTCAAATTAAACGGTTAAATCGTTATATATATATATATATATATATATATATATATATATATATATATATATATT